GTGACTTCCAGAGGGTGGTAGGTATGAGTTGCATTTTCAGTTCACATTACAGGAGTTGAAGTGCAGAAAATGTGAAGATAAAGGATCTGGTTGGACCCAACCCTGAAAAAATGTGAACTGTGCAGAAATTATTTCTAAGACATCCCCATCCTTTTCCTTCTCCCTTTGGCTCTTTCCCCCACTTTTCTATCCCGAAAATTCGGTTAAAGTTGTCTTGAGTTCTATTGCTATTTCTAAGGAATTTGGCTTTACAAAAGTCAACACCTAAATAGTTCCTTCTTGTTTCTTATTTTTGTCCAATAGTAACACAACAACAACAAGTCCTTGTGTGGTGCTTACTATGCGTCAAAAACTGTTTTAGAATGTGCATATGTATATATTCCTTTAGTTCTATGATCAGTTTTTGGGGTAAATACTATTATTTTTATAGTTAGGGAAACTGAGGCATGGGAAGGTTAAGTGATGTGTCCAAATTGCTCAGCTAGTTAATGGCAGATCCAGGATTTGAATTCAATCAGTCTGGCTTTAGTCATTATACTTTTAACAGTGGCATAGTATATCCAACCTTCCTTCCTCTAACACCTGACCATTAGTGTATGGTTAATGGGCATAACTAGTTAATTATATTTCTAACTATCTATTTTGATTGGATTCCCTATTCAGATTTCTGAACACATAAACTTTTTTTTTGTTTGTTTTGCTTGCTCTTTTCTTATGTCCTTTCTGGCCTGACTATAGTCCCTTTTCTGATAAACTTAGTGTTCAACTAATTAAATAAACAGTTATTCAAACTGCATTAATTTTTTTTAATTCAGTTTCCTCTTTTACTTTCAATTTTGTGAATTATTCAGATTATTGTCCATGACTTTTACCTTACACTTCCCATCTTTTTCTAGCTTCTTTGATTACTAAGAGTTTTGGCAATTCTGCAAACTCTACCTTTGGACCACACCCACCCATGTGATTCAATGGAAGGCATCTTACTCTTTTCCAGACTGGTCATTAGCTTCCTTTTCATGATCTCTTTCCAGAAATTATCTAAAATTTAATTCATTGATTTTTATAACAACTCCTAAATAATTGAGGTTTACCATTTACATCTTAAAAATTTTTTAATTTAATTTTATTATTTCCATCACCATTTATTCTCACTATGCCCTCTACCACCTCCACACCCCCCACCCCCCACTGCAGTCACCACACTGTTGTCTATGCCCTTGTGTTCTCTGTCTCTTTTTTCCTGTTTTGATCAGTCACCATTTACATCTTGAATAAGAATTTTTGTCTCCTTAGTTTTGTACACAGATATGGAAGAGCCTTGGGAGAGGGGAAAAACCATATAAAGAGAACCACATCCCAGATATTTATATTTTGGCAAAAATCCTTGAGTTAGAGATGAGAAAAACCCCCAGTCACCATGAAAATTCTGGAAGTGTTTATAGTAAACTAGAATTTGGACAATGATAGAAATCCTAGGCGAGGAAAGTATGATGACAGTTCAGATAAAGAATAAGGAACAGCTGAATGAAGGAGGATTTATAGTAAGAAATGCTAAGCCATTTTGTGAAGAAGAATTCTATATTTTAAGGAGAAAACCACTTAATTTTGAAAAGGACATAGATTCAAAGAAAAAAAAAAAAAGAAACGGAATAGGAGTATTGCATTGCATCTTATCTCTGGCCATAATAGGAAGTAAATGGACAAAATGAAATTAACCCCTGGGACTCAATGCCCTGGTGAGTCTCTTGGAACCTTGCAAAAAGAATGGGCCATATGGTAAGTAAGGACTGCCTCTGTGACAACACAGGCTCAGATGAAATTTCAAGGATTATAAATCCTCTTGTTTCATCCCATAATCTGAATACCAGCTGGCACTGGGAAGTATAACACTGCACAATTAAATGCCTATGGTTTTTTTTTTTAATATCTTCCTCAGTAGCATCCGGGTTTGGCTCCTGGAAAACAGAATGTGGCACCACTCCAGGATGATCATTAATCTGCCTCAGTAGGGCAGTCTTCCCTCACGGGAGCCTATCCATAATGGTCTGTTGTAGTGATCTGTCACACCATATGGGGGAAGAGGAAACAAGAGATTGAGCAACAGAGGGGACACACATAACATGGAATCCTGGCAAAAACGGAAAAGAAGGCAGGAAGCTTTACATATCATCTGTCCACACAGCCAAACAGAGGTCAAGTAGTTAATTACATGCCCATTGTTGGTCTTAGAGTCTGTCATACAGACATGAAGGGGAAAGAGAGAGCCAGCAGGGAGAGTGGATCGGTGGTTTTGGAGAAGTACCAAATTAAATATCCTTTCTGTGGTATCTTTCAGGGGACAGTTGAATGTGACAGAGTGTGGTCCCGGAGGGCCCTGCTGTGCTGTATACACAAGGCCTGTTCACGTGGGTTATACAGAGAAGGTTTGTGGTGATAGGAGCTGTAAGCCATGGTGTGTTTCCCAACGTTCTGTATTGGGAGTGGCTGATGGGCACTATGTTCTTTTGCAGTCCCAGTTTTTACCTCTCCTTTGTCCCATCCTATGCCGAAACCATACTGAGCTACTCACAGTTCACATTTGTGCACTCTCTAGAGTTTGGGCCCACCTGGAAGAGGAAGAGATGAATGCATAGTTGAATGGATATTTGGGTGGGTTGGATGAACGAATGAATGAATGAATGAATGTCTGCACACAATGAGTCAGCTATTGAACACAAATACTAGTCGTAGTTAGAGTGTTTCCTTCCTGGAAACAACACTGTAGGGTGGCAGAGTAGAGTAGTAGCAGGTGAGAGTAGACATGGAGAAGAGAGAAAAGATCCTATGGGAGAAATTGTAAGACTTTCTTATTGAAATTAGAATTTTTCCCGTGTAGTCTGCTTCCATGGTGCTTCAGTTATTCATACATGGTTTCCCATTAGCTGTTTAGCTGGAAACCAATTCCAATACCCATTAGTTTCAAACATTTTAAAACAGCAACAAAAAGTACGTTTTAATGCAGCTTTCAGGATTCATGGACTCATAGATGTTAGGAAATGCAAACTGGGGAATTGTTATAACCAATAATAGAGCACACAGTCCCTCCACTTCTCAAGGTAAAACTGGGCTCATTTGCAGTAAAGACAAAGGGTTTCTTTCTTTCTTTCTTTCTTTCTTTCTTTCTTTCTTTCTTTCTTTCTTTCTTTCTTTCTTCCTTCCTTCCTTCCTTCCTTCCTTCCTTCCTTCCTTCCTTCCTTCCTTCCTTCCTTCCTTCCTTTCTTTCCTTCTTTCCTCCTTTTTTTCTTTCTTTCAACTTATCTTTCAGAGGAGGGAGCTCACTCAGCAGGTGGGATCTCAGGGATCTGGGAGAGCAATTGCATGGTGTGGGCACAGACAACAGGAAATGAGTGCAAACAGGCCCCCTCCTCAACATAAACACACACAGACTTAACCTACAGCTGAACTCCTGCCCTTGAGTGACCACTGCCATTAGGACGCAGGTCAAAAGGTTGCAGGGGGACAGAAAATGGAGCCTTATTGAGTGAAAGAGAAAATGAAAAATTCTTTTGTTTGCTTAACTCTGTGGTTTGTATAGCTACTGTGATGCCAGAATGGAGTCCAGAGTGGGAAAAAGAAGTCCCCGATTTACCAGTTTAAAGAAAGGCAGTTGGAAATTCAGTTAAGGATTGGAAAAGAAAGATGTGGGAGACCTACATAAAAAAGAGGGGAGTCTCACTGCACTTAAGAGGGAGAGCAGACTTGATCAGTCTCTGGTGATAATAAGAAGGGATGGAGAGCAACACCAAACATTTTCTTTTCTCATAATGGCAGGATTCAAGAAATACAGATGCAGAAGCACAGCTGGCTGACCCACTCTCTTTCCTCCTTGGCAGGCACCCCCATCACAGCCAGTTAGGAAAAACTTTTTAATGCTAAAAGCTGTACATTCAATAACAATACATGAATAAACACATATATATTCACGCACATATCTATCTAATTATCTGTCATCTATCTACTTATCTATCTATCTATCTATCTATCTATCTATCTATCTATCTATCTATCAAAGACATGGCAGCATGAAGCTCACCTGGCAAATTATTTAACCTCAGACAGGTACAGAAACTAGAGATTTCCCACTGTGCTTGGCTATTTTCACCCATTCCAACTCTGAGCACATTTACAAGTTCTGGATGATTCTGTTTCTTTCCAGAATGTTTCTTCAGAGTAAAAAATTGATCATTTAAATGAGGAAGCAAAAGACTACGATGTGTTTCAACTCTGTCTATCATTCTATAGATAAAGATAATACTAAAAAGAGAAGAAAATGATTACATTGCATTCTTGTTTTTTTGTTGTTTTTGTTTTGTTTTGTTTTGTTTTGGTGGTCTTTAAATTCCAACGTGTCTGGGATTATTTTATAACCTCTCTACCATGTGCCTTCTCCTAGGTTGGACTTTAGCTGCATGATTTTTCCCCTGAATAGGTAATGAACTGCTTTCCAAAATGGGTTTTATAGTAGAGATAATCAAGCAGGTTCCCACATGCTTTTTTTTTTTTTTAATGCAGTTTTTGTTTCTGAGGGTGCTCCATGTATAGCCACGGCAAGCCCACAGAAATGAGGCTTCAGTTCCTTGCAAATGCTGAGCAGCCATGAACACCCTCCTGGGAGATGGATGAGTCCTATTAACCTTGTGGCGATAGAAACAAAGTGAGTGTGAGGATTAGGAGGAAGTCAATGTCAGCACCAGGATTAGAATTCACACTTGCCTGATTTCTCAGCCCACCACCAGCCCCCCATGGATCCCAGCTTTGTCTCCATCTTAAAGTGAGACAAACGTTAATAGAATCCTGTTATCCTCAGGTCTTATCATTGAAGGAAGGCCCATCCTTTTAATAAATGACAGAACAAGGAAGTAACTTTGAGGTGATTTATTCCACTCTCCAAACTTGTTAAGTGGGGAAAAGTTCATAAAAATGCTAGAAAGAGAATACCCACCTTTTGCAGTAATGCCACTGGGAAGCAAATGGTGTGGTGAAAAGCATCAGATAGGAATTGGAGCTCCTCATTTGAAGCTGGGCTATGCCTCTCACTGAGCCTCTTTCTTGCCTGTAAAACATAGAAAACAGAGAAGCACTGATCAGACAGGACCATCAAACCTCTGAGGGAAGGCAAGGGAGGGAGATAGTAAGAGGGAGGTATCAACCAAAGACTTGTATGCATGCATATAAGCATAACCAATGAACACAGACACTATGGGGGTGAGGACATGAGCAGAGGGGTGGGGAGCAATGGGAGGATAAGGATACACATGTAATACCTTAATCAATAAAGAAAATAAATGATTTTTAACAATGTAGAAAATAATACCAATGAGTACTATGAAGATTAAATATGCCAAGTACATGAGATATTATTGGCACTTCTTAAAATTTTTGCCTTTCATCTTCTCTCCCATTGCAGCTATACAGTTTCTCCACATGATAAAAATAATACCCAATGTGTTCACTTCAGGGTCCAATTCCAAGTCATTAGTGAGACTTGGATCTTGTAGCTTGGTCAAGCCAAGTATCTGGAGTTAAGGCCCAAATACAGTGCATAGCTGTTTAATGCTTTGAGCCCAGATTTCTTCGGGCCCTTAGTAGTGACTTTCCCCATGGGTAGGATTTCAAGAGCTCCCATACAGAGGCAGAGTCCTGAGCTAGACAGAGAGGCAGTCTGGGGAGTGAAACCCATGTCTAATGCCCGTCTGTATTCTGGAAGGTGTCTCCTTGCTGAAAGAGCACTGATACCGATTCACACTACCATGCATTCTCTCCAACTGACAGTCTTGCTATTGCCTGTCTCATTCCTCCCTCCCCAATTTTCTTTGCCACTTCTCCAAGAGAATATCCATGTCTCCTAATTCAACAAGCATGCTCTTCGTCCTCTGAGTAGTTCCTGAACATACTTTGCCTTATTCCCTCTGAGAAGGGGTTAGCAATTCACCTTCCTGAGTCTGAAAAAGAGAAAGAAAATCCCTTTTTATTCTTTTCTTCAAATCTGAACTGGGAATTTCGGGCCAGAAACTCAGTTTTGAGTGGATGGTTGAAGCAAGAGTGCACAGAAAGGAGACTTTGGCTCTACACTGTGGACATTAAAACTACTCAAAATAGAATTGCTCTGGGAGAAAGGATTTACAATAGGAAGGATTAGGAGAGTTTTTTAAATTTTCCCAACTGGTGTGACTCAGTTGGTTGAGCAGCGTCCCATGCACTGGGAATCACCTGTTCAATTCAGGTCAGGGCACATGCCTGGTGTTGTGGGCTCAGTCCTCAGTAGGGGGTGTATGGGAGGGCTGATAGATGTTTCTCTCTCACATGGATGTTTCTATCTCTCTCTTTTTTCTCCCTTTCTCTCTCTGAAATAAATAAAAAATATTTTAAAAAATTAAAAATAATGTCACCCATGTCATTATGATAATAGCAAGATTTGCACATCTACTAAAGTCCATGCAATGTGCTGTTCTGTTCACATATAATGTCTTGTTTAGTTCTCAGAAAAACTTTGAGAGGTAGATTCTATTACTCTCCTCACCTACTCCCATCCACAATCTTGTATCTGAGAGTCTATGGTGATACTGTCTTTATTACAGAAAAACTGGAGAAGAACCAAGCAACGCTTAGAGATGGAGTTACATTTATTATTATTATCATTATCATTATTATTATTATGCATGGGCCCAGAGAAAAATGTCTCTCAAATTCTGGGCAAAAAACATGGAGGAAGTTTCCCTATTTATATATTTTTGCCCTCTCTGTCCCCCAAATATGGGCTTTTTTGGTCTCCTTTGCAAGTTTTTTTTTTTTTTTTTAATATATTTTATTGATTTTTTACAGAGAGAAAGAGAGGGATAGAGAGCTAGAAACATCGATGAGAGAGAAATATCAATCAGCTGCCTCCTGCACACCCCCTATTGGGGATGTGCCCGCAACCAAAGTACATGCCCTTGACCGGAATCGAACCTGGGACCCTTCAGTCCGCAGACCAATGCTCTATCCACTGATCCAAACTGGTTTCAGCCCCTTTGCAAGTTCTTAAAGAGCCCTATATGCTGGGGCTTTGAGACCTCAACCAAAGACCTGGCCTGGCTCCAGCACTGATAACTTCGTTTGGGGAAGGTTTATGGCTTCTCTGGAGTGGGAGTAGTCTTTTTTCCTTATTATTTAAGCAAGCAAGTGTTTACAGAAGCCAAAATAGCAGGGTTAAAATTTTAAACAGCAGTTTTTATATAAGATGGATGCTTCACATTAAGTAAACTCAAGCATTCTTCTTTATTCCATTCTCTAGGAACTTACGGTGTTTTATGATCCAAGACGGATCTACTTCTCTGCTTCTCACTCAGTTCTCAAAGGCCTGGGTCAGTGTATGCATAGAGTCTGCAAAGGCCTCACACAATATGCATTTGGCCCCCTGGCATTGGTGGCAGCGCACTCACCTGGGCTGATGGCCCAGTGTAGCTGGGCTTTGGGGTAATGAGCAAGGAACCAATTTCTGGAAAGACATTGTGCGCACCAGGTGATTTTTTTGGGAGCTTATGAATGAGCCTGCTATCCTAGTGTCTCTCACAGTATCACCCTGTTTTGGCATAAAGGGAGGGAGATAGTTGCTGAGTGCATATTCTTCAGGGTAAATAGCATTCTCTCAGCCTGCCTATTATTTTGCTCCTGTGATCTCTTTTTAAGGAATATATATTTTTATTGATTTCAGAGAGGGAGAGAAAAATAGAAATATCAATGATGAGAGAGAATCATTGATAAGCTGCCTCCTGCATACCCTCTCCTGATTGAACCTGCAACCTGGGCATGTATGCTGACTGGGAATCAAACCTTGACCTCCTGGATCATCAGTAGACATTCAACCACTGAGCCACACCGGCTGCACACTTCAGTGATCTCTTTACATCTTTACACATGGATCACTGATTACATTTTATAGAAGCCTCATTGTTTTGTTAGTTATTGATAGTATCAATCTAAGAATTTCACATAGCCTTCCTGAGTTTTCTAAAATACTAACTGGCAGAGCTTTAACAACTTCCATTAATACAAAGCTTGCCTATTGATTTGAGAGCATTTAAAATTGCAGTAGTCCTGGCTTCATTTTTATTCTTTCTCTGATGACTTCCACCCCATTGCAGATGGTCCAAGCATTCGCCATAAGACAGGAATTGACTGCTCCTTGGAGAAGTGAGGCCAAAATTGACATGGAAAACCTTTTTGTTTTTCCACATTTTCCATTTTTATTCATCCCACATAATAAAAGGGCAGCTCTTTCTTCAGTTTTCCCCTGAATCTAATGTATTTAAAATTCTATTATTTAAAGTGTATTTAAAGTGTAAAGATTGTGCAGAATATTTATGGAGATCTGAAAGAGGACCTTTTAGTCACAAATGCATTTCTGCTATTAACTTTCAGGCAAAGACACACTTATGAAAGGAAGACAAGCAGAAGTTTGGGGAGGAGGGTTGCTGTATAAATGTAATTTGTTCTCTTTTTCCTCCTCAGATAGGCTGCTGTGATTTTCTACCTTGGAAAATAACTAAGTGGCACTTAGAATTAAACTCTCCTAGGGAGAGTGGTATGAATATTGTAAGTTATAAGTACAAAGTACTTTTCTATCTCTCTGCATATTTGATTCTTATTTTATCTTATTTCTTAAATATCATGTGTTAAACACTATATTGGGTATAAATATAGTGCTAAATAATCACAGTTATCAGTAGAGGGAAGCTCTTCTTCTGATTAAAACGAGTGACTTTTCTGATATAGAGCCTCAGCTGAAGGGCTGCAAGACAGTACAAATGACTACTTACTCTGTCCTCTGTTTCTAGAAAGATAAAGTTTTCCTGAGGCCAGAATGGAGCCAGGGCCACAACACTGAATGAGAGAATGTGTTCTTATTGTTGATCAGGACTTAATGAACTTTATTGGGGAAATAATCAGCATGGTTCTTTCTTTAACCTTAGGAAGAGAAGGTATATATACCTTCTATCTTCTACTCCTTTCTTCAGGGAGTCTACACTTCACATATACTAATGCCAAAGTGGGGAGAATTTATTTTTTGACACCCAGAAAACCAGGTGGAAGTATTTATTCTTTGCTGTTGCAAAATAAAAATAACTAGTTATTATATTTCTTGCTGGTGCTAAGACATGGGTGCTGGCCATGTAGAAAGAGTATCCCAATTCTAGTCACAGCTGCGACTATGTCATCTTGGAATGTCCTGTTGGAATTCCAAACAGATGAAGTTGAGTGCAGAGCTGGTCACAACTGTGAAACATCCTATTGTTTCCTATTGTCAGGCTTTCCGTGGCCTATTTTACATCACAGAGTCCAGATTTGTTATTTTCCTTTTTTATTTTTTTACTTGATCTTGGCACCATTTAGTTGACCTGAACTCTCAAGGCCATTCCATCGATGTATGTCTGTCCTTGTGTCAATATCATACTATCTTGATTCTTGTTGCTTTGCAGTATATTTTGACTGCATTTTAACAAGTGTGTGTCCTCCCACTTTATTCTTGTATTTTAGAACTCTTTTAGTTGTTCTGCATCCCTTGCAATTACATAAACAATTTAGTTTTCCAATTTCTACAAAAAATCCAGCTGGGTTTCTGACAGAGACTACATTGAATCTGCAGATAAACGTGGGCAGTTCTGTCATCATAACTGTATTGCATCTCCCATCCATGAACATGAGATGTTTTCCATTTATTTAAATATTTTCAGCAATATTTTATTATTTTCAGAGTATAAGTTTTGAACTCCTATTCCTAAGTATTTTATTCTTTTTTTATATTATTATAAATGGAATTGGCTTTTTTAAATTTCATTTTTGGATTTTTTAGTGCTAGTATGTAGAAATACAATTGTATCCTGCAAATTTATTAAACTCAGTTGTAAATTCTACTAGTGTTTTATTTATTTTATTTATTTTTTTTTTTACTGGATTCTTTAGAACTTTCTATGTGCAAGATCGTGTCATCTACAAACAGATAGCTTTACTTCTTTTCCAAAATTGATGCTTTTATTTTTTCCCCCTTGCTAAATTGCCCTGGCTGGAAGCACA